ATTCTTCCAGCCTGGCATTTCTCATGATGTACTCTGCATATAGGTTAAACAAGCATACAGGGTGTCGTACTCCTGTCCAAGGGTGACAGCATACAGCCTTGTCGTACTCCTTTCCCTATTTTGAACCAAAGTCTGATAGTACCTTTTCCAATTAACAAATGTTATTAAAAGGCAAACGCTATCATGAATTGAAGTGACCTGATGATCAGTTGCACAGGGTGGCTGGACTGATGTATGATTTAAATTGGGGGAAGATAGGGGAAGGTAGGTTGGCTGGTTATGTGGATGCAAGTTACATATGAGACAAATTGCTAGTATTTTATCAATTAACAATTGTGTGTTTGTTGAGATCTTCTGATATTACCTGAAACTTTTTGATGTGAGTTTTCACTCGATGGTGCTTTTGAAGTCCAGTTTTTCCAAAAGTCACGCTGAGGTCTGCCACAGGGTGTTCTGGGAGGTTGAAATGCTTTCATATTACTTACTTCTTGTTTTGAGTTTTGATGTCAAACTTGTGCCCATTAATTCTACTGCACAAAGTTTGTCCCATTTGCCCTACATAGAATCCAGAGGGGCATTGCTGGCAGATGATGGCATATATCATCAAGTGAAGCACCTCTAATCTTGTGTCTCTATACTTGGGGCCTGCGATGGTGTAGATGTGGAGGGTTGTTCTTATCTATGTCTTTAAGGTGCCAGGGTTATCAAATCACTAGATGGCAGCAGAATTCTCTGTAACACATTACTGCCATCTAGTGGTCATCTAGATATTTGCATCACAGATCTGATACTATACAGTGCAGTACCTCTCTTTTACTGCCACAGCTAACAAATAGAGCTACCTGCTAAAATTGTTTTTAGTGCTGTTGCTTACTAGTAAAATGGTCAAATTAATTTTAGTTGCGTGATTCAAATATCAGTTGTAAAAACTAAGTCATGCAATTCTATGGCAGACCTGCTTACCTTGGAATCCAGCAAGCCATTGCTCGTGAGCCATATGCAACATCAGTTTCTCTTATGCCTTGTGGTTTTTATAGTGTTAATAATTATTGTTTTTTATATATTTATTGTGTTATTAATTGTTGTATACCACCCAGGGTTACTTTTTGTGAGATGGGCAGCCATATACATTTGACATATAAATAAATAAATAAACATTCCAGCTCTGATCAGCTGTTATTCATCTGTCATGGGCTCTATTCAGCACAGCTGGTCATAATGTCAGTCTTAACTACCAAAGTACAAGCATTCATTCCAGAAAACAGAGGGAGCGTTTTAACTGGTGGAGGATAGAATCAT